AAAATGCATCATTAATAAGTCATATAAGTAATTAATAAATAAATTAAGGTTTGACTTCGTATAATTAAGGGTTTGTTAACAGTGATTAGATATTTATTATTGTATTTATAATTAATAATAAGTTAATCCATTAGTTACTTTTTATCAATCACTGAATTAATGTGGCTGTAGTAATTGAAAGTTATCAAATAGCTGTTTTAACAAAATGATAAATTTAATCACTAATGTATATCGAAAATCACACTGCACAAAACATGAGAAAATTCAACTGAGGAATCACATAAAGAAAATGCGAAAGGACTGCATCATCATAGTGTAAAGATCAAGCCATCAAGCATCATTTCATTCAATCGGAACATGGGCCTACCGAAGAAAAGTATATCCGAGTTAAAGAACATTGAACACCTAAACCAGGGAATAGCTGTATGAAATCATTTCCCTCAACCGATTCTCGGACACTCGTTGAGAAGATCAACGTCGCCCAATGGAACATTTCAACCTTCTATGAAGTCTCCTTGTCGAAGGATGGCTACTCATCATATTACAGTGGCGCACCTTATGTCTGTTAGAATAAACCTTTTCTAAGGATAAGGGGGTCTCAATGAAGGATTTCCTTAGGAAATCCAACCGAAAATATATCGACCAACGAAAGAACCTTCAACTGACCGAACGAAGATCAGACGAATAAAGTTGTACAATAACAAATACAAAATAAAACCAATATCAGTTATGAGTACGTAACAACGCCAACAGCGGTTACTAAGGTCAAAAGATATCAGGATCAGTTAGGTGTAATGTTTCATTAATCACTTATAATGTTTTTATTCAATAAGGGCCAAAAATGTAATTTACTAGACATCTCCTATAATCAATAGAAAAGGGGTTCATTACTTTAGGAATGGTTATTGAATCTATTCCAAAATAATTGATGTTGTTGTATACTGCTCTCTAATCTCTTTTTCCTTTATTCCTCTCATCCGACCAATGCTCCATCCCCTTGGGAATCAACAACTAATCATGTGTTAAATAATATCAATGGGATATTAACTAGGTATTTAATTAATTGAAGGCCAATGAATTAAGAAAAAAAAATATAATTGAGAAACAAGGGAGGGTTTAATCAAAAGTTGTTAATTGGGGGACAACTATGTTCTAGATAATTAATTAAAAAGCAATTACTTATGTAATATTTTATGAATGCTATTAGAAGTGTTATAAGTTTTACCATGAAATAAACTTATGTGCATGTATACCCATGAATAATTTGAGATTAAAGAGATTTATTCGAAGGCATAAAGAAGAAGCAACTTGTTCATAAATTAGGGAATAAAAGGTCTTCTCAAACATACAAGTTTATAATATATTTCAATATAAAACAAAAAAAAAATTAGGCAACTAGAACAAACAAATTGTTACACACACGCAAACACACATACGAACACACAAACTACTAAATCATATTCACCTGAACTAAGTGAATGAAAGTAAAACATGGTCAAACTGGATGGTCCAAGAACAAGTTTTCTTAAGTTGTAATAGTTAAACCTGTTTGAATCATCATAAATCCATAAGTTATCCATAGCGGGTTATTAAAATAATTTTAGAGGACATGAGGTAAGTCATTTAAAGAGATTATCATTTAATTAGTTGAAAATAGCAAATCAATCTTAAGAAGACTGCTCATTAGAAGCAATACTTGCTTCGTTGTACTTTGTGGGTGTACAATGTACTTAAGAAATAAGTTAAAAGTGTTCAATTTATAGAAATTAATTGGTATACTTGATAGACGACTAGGTGTTAGTACTTTGCAGTCGTCTATCAATTATATAAATGTTATAAAAGATCGATTTTATGTCTAATGCATGAAAAGCTACACATAGCTATTCAAATACCTTCTCGATATGATTCAAATATAGCCTATTATGTACCGTCAAAATTGATCATTTCCAATAAATTGAAGTCTAAGTGTGAGGTGTGGGTTACATCATTTTTGAAAATGGGCAATTTTTTGTAATCTAGGACATGCAATCCTAAACGAGCCTTTAATTTAAAGCTCCCCATCTCTATATCTCTCTAGATTTAAGCATCTATTCTACTCTCATTGAACTTCCATATGTAGTAGTCTCCTAATAAGAATTAAGGAATCAAACATCAAATCATCTCGCCATCTCATTTTTCATATGAGCTCAAGCATGTGTTATCCAAATTCCACCAGGTAACTTTGATTTCAACAACATGAGTATAAGGATAATAATTTCAAAGTTTTTGGGATTGTTTTAATGGAGTATCTCATTAGTCAATAAATAATCAACAATATATCAATATCATAAACTCTACATGTATGAGCCATATAATCCTTTTTTAAAATATACTTCTTATTAATGGCCTATTAACACAATATAGTAAATCATAAGTTGTATAACTCATAAGTAGATAGAGATCACTTATGCTTTAGAAAATAAAAATTAAAAAATAATTTTTATGTAAATGCATAATATATATGAATAATATTAACCTTATCCTTAAGTTGCAATTAAGAGGGAGTTAAGAACTGATATTTTCTATTTTTCTCGCTCTCGTAGTTGTTTTATTTAATTGGTCTACCTCTTCCTCTCTTGCCCTTTTATCTTTTTTTTTCTTATCCTTCTTTTAAATTTCCTTTTTCTTTAAAGGCCTTTTTTTTTTTGGAATTCTTTCAATCTACTTCCTTTTTTGTTATTTTTTTCTTCCATGTAAATGTATGTATCACGATTTAATAGAATATTTTTTTCATTGTTTGCTTTTTCATAAGTTTGTATCAAATCTATAATTCTTAAATTCAAATATTTCTTCATGAATAAAATAATATGCATTGTAATTTTAAAATTTAATGAATTATGGACTTTTCCTCATTTCTTATTTTCTTCATCATAAATACATAAGGAACTTCCCTATGTTGATCATTCATTGAGCATACAATATCTCATACTTAAACTTGTGTTTAAGAGACCAAATCATAGAATCTTAGTTTCAATAATTTATAATAGCTCTAGAAAGATTACCTTTGCTAGAACCCTAACTCTCTTTGGACATGTACCTATCATGATAATATGTTGGGTGCATCTAACTTTCTTATCACGTAAGAGAATATTAGATTGGTTGGATTGAAGCATATTTTAAACTTCATTTATTTATCAATGTAATTTGACCCCATATATCATCTATAGATAATTATAATCTTCATTAGAATTACTAAAGACTTAATAGGCAATCCTTATATTATTAATTTTTGACTTAAAGCCTTTTGAGATAAAGAATTTCCAAATTAAATACTTGTTGGGCAAGAAGTCTCAGCTCTCTTGACTTTATCTTTAAGCTTTCACCGCTATCACTTAGGCATTAGTGCTTTCTACCTAACAACATATTCCTTGGTTTTGTTCTATCAAGCCTTCAATCATACTCCCCTCATCGCACTAACCTTTCTATTATCCAAGATCACACCCAATACATTAGATTGACTACTTAAAGCCACCATCTTGGCCTTCGAGCCAACCTATTATCTCAACCTTCCTTGGTTGTCAACTATTATAAGTCAACTTGAGCCTTAGTATTCACCATCCCACATTGTCACTTAGCTATGCCCTCTTGGCCTTTAAACCACATTACTTCATTACCTTGTCAATTTGAAGATCTTTATGTGATGACACTAACCTTTCACCCACAATCAGACATCAAATTCCTTATGACAATCTCTTGGGACCTAGAAGAAGGATGTCGTAGACCTATCTTCCTCTTGATACCTTGATGTTTATCAGTTATGGTTTATAGCACCTTGTTCGACAATGCTCTCTTTGATCAACCATGATTGATAACTTATCTTCGAGCATTATCTCCACATGGTATTGACTTCATAATTAAGTCTAGGTTCATTTATTTATCTAATAACTTTAAGCTAACAAACATTTTATCAATGAACTTTTGCCTAGCAACACTTCAGTCATGTGTCAATTCACAGTGTGCTTATCAACCCCTTATATTATTACCCAACATGAATTATTTGATGCTAATAAAATTAGCTCACTATAATATAAACCAACAAATAAATAGTTGGCGTAAAAAAGTATGCTTATACAATAGTCTAGGGGCCTTAAACATTCTTACGAAATCCTCTGAGGATTACCCGCAAACACTTACCAAGCAAAAACTCTCTCTACATGCAGATTACTCCCAATGACTCTTCGGGCTTATTTTGGAACGATAGAATGCATTGGACATTTTTTATAGGGCATCACCCACTAGTGCTCATATTCCTTAAAGTCATCCATTCAAAGCAGCCAACTCATTTCTATCATTGTGTTCAAGTTTGTACTTCTCCATTAAAGAAGAAAGATATCATCCATCTTCACCAAGAGTTGTGGATGTGGTCCCATCCATAGGTAAATTTAAGATCATTCAATTTAATCTATAATTGAGCAAAGTACACATAAAATTTGGCTCAATTTGATTGATATTCAATCAATGATTCATGATAAGATTCAATCAAATTTCAATTAATTTTATTTTTATTTTCAATGATTAAATATTTACTTCAATATAATTTAAGGGGACCTACATACATATCATAATTTTTTTCCATTTATTTTGATGTGATTTACCCACAAGAGAGCTATGCAAGTAATATAGTGATTTTAATATTTAAGGTTTAAGTATATAATAATTTTATTTATTGTAAATCTAATTCATACCAAAATTAAAGGCCCTTGAAAAAAAAAACAATCCTAGCCCTTTACAAATTATAACTCTTAAAGCCAAAGTATATAGAATTAATTTACTTTAAATTGTCACTTGCAAAATGTTTTTATTAGCCCATTTACTTTACAAAAGGAAACTCTTTTTTCGGCCCATAAATCAGTAACGACAGCGCATTAGCTTCCTGAATTCTCATTGGTCTATATTGCTGGAAACGCATTAAAACGCCACGTGTACCTTCGCGAAGCATCTTAAAAATCCCGGCAAATCTCGATTCTGTAAATACATGCTGAGATTTGGATTTTCGATCTTGCTGAGTGTTTGCAGTCAGAAGGATTCGGAGAAGCTGCGAGTGCGAACACAGTCTTCAAGTGGTGACGATGATTCGCTCAGTTTTGTTGCTTGTTCTTCTTGTTCTGCCCTATTTGTTCATCTTCTCTGTAGAAGCGAAAACCGTAGACCCCTATAAGGTACTGATTGTTTGGTACTTTTGCTCCGTTCTTTAATTTGAATTAAATGGTGATTTTTACTGTTTTTGATGGTAGAATAGAGCATAAAGTGGTGCGGTATTGATGATTGTTACACACGGCGTGGCAATTTTGGTACTCCTGGTTCTTTATTGATTGAGACCAACGAATTTACTCTAGGTTTCATTTAGATGGAAGTGTGGTTTTCTTTTTTTGTTAAAATTAGGATAGTTAAAGACCTAATTGTTCTTCTCATTTTGGAGGATTTCTTGAAATATTATCACTTTTTGCTGCTAAACTTTTCTTGGTCAGTATATATATATATATATATATTTGGATAATTACATACGGAGCACCTGAAACATTGCTGTTTATCAATCAAGCACCCAGGTGATTTTTTGAACTATCGAACCGATGCATTTACGCGTGCCATGATCAAACCATTGAGAATTTGATAAAAACGAAAAGTATGGGTTGGGTTTTTAGCATGAATTTTGATATTTCAGTGAAAATTTGAAAAATGGATGAGTAAACAATTGAAAAAACAAGTTTTGATTTGTGCGGAGTGGAACTCGCAGTGAGTCATAAATTGTCATATCAGCAGTTAATGATTGTCATTTATTTATGCTTTTTTAACCTGAGGCTAACTTCAATCAGATTTTTGATAGTGGTGTTTGTGGCCAATCTCTGGATAACTTTATAATTGGTCATCCGAGCCTTTCCATGAGATCATTTAGTTCAATCTCTTTAATGTTCATTTGGAACATTGAACTTTTCTTGTCATGATGTGTGCTAAATTAGTCTATGACATTCTCATGCATGTGAATGTTGATGAGAGTGAAATTTCAACCATTGGAACCCCATTTCACCATTAAATTTGGTGGCTAAAATGGAGATGTCAGAAAAATAAAGAATCTATTAGAAACTTGAAGTTAAAATTTAGAAAATTGCAACTAGAACTTAAAGTTAAAACTCATAAAATTGCAATTAGATTAGTTTGTGCAATTGGTTTTAGACTTTTAGTGTAAGACAATAAAGAATTTATTGATTACCAAATTCAGGCTATTATAGATTAGAGTGTTAAAACAGATGTGCAGTAAAATCTGAAATAATAAAGTGAGAATTAATTATATTTGAGAGCCAAGCAAGTGTTTCGCTAATTAAGGATAATGTGGTCGATAAAAAAAAATTAAATTTTTTTTTGATGTGCAATCATGAGTGGAAAGGTGCACCAATAAAATAAGTTAATATATTTAACAAGATAATGCTTTAGGAGAAAAAAGATGGACCTTAAGTAACATGATTAGAAGTTTGGTAGAAGTACTTGTTCATAAATTTTTCTCTCATGTAGAGCTCAACAAGAATGTAGAGCATGGAGTTCATATAGCCGGCCCCAAATAGCTGAGAACAATTTAATGATGACGAAGACAACATGCGTTGATTCATCCGGGTAGAGATTCGTATTATGAATGAATGCTCATTGATTTTTTAAAGTGTTGAAAGAATTATGTATACATTTTGTTAACTTCAGGAAAATTTTTAAATATGCCAACAGAACTGAAAAACAAACCTGACAAATGCATATGATGTGTTCATGATACTTGAGATCATGCCATTGTACAATGAAGGAGATATTTTCTAATTGGTTGAATACATGTATGTTTTGTTGAATGAGCATGCTTCTAATCACTGAAAGTTCCCCGAATAATAGCCCATGTGACCTTTGATAACATATTTTTTTTTGGTTTTCTTCACTTGTATAAGGCGGTTTTTATCCAATGACTCATCATTTATACATATTGATCTATTTGTTGTTTTTACTTGTTAGCATAATTTTTTTTTTATCTTTAATTTTATTTTTTTAATTCAGCTATTGGTATATCTTTGTTAAATCAATTGTTTTTTTCTTACATTGATAAGTAGATTAGTCAAATGTTTGAGTTATTTTTCAATTTGAATTTTGAGCTGCCGAGTTAGTCTTGTTTAAATTGAATCTAAATAATACAGTTTTAATCTTGTTTAAAGTTGATTAAAAAACAAAATGTTTGTCTTAATTTGGCTCAGCTTATCTTTGTTTCATTTTGTATTTTCTTGTTAAATTTTCAGAGCTAACACACCATAATTTTATATAGTAAATTCTATGCCTGCATGATACCTCTAAAAGCACAATAATATTATAAAAACATGAAAAATTTTTACATTAAATTTATCTATGCTGGAGTTTTATTTCAAATACCCAAAAAATGATAAAACAGGTACGACATTTATACATCCAACACTTTGAAGTATTAAATTATAATGATCAGATATTGATTGCAAATAATTAGCTACATTTAAATACATTATATAAGAAAATAGTTGTTCTTGAACTCAATTTCTCTGATAAATAAAACCAAAATAAAATAGTTGTTTAAAATAAAAATTGACAATGAAAAAGAGAAGAAAACCATTATTAGTAAATTGATCAATAATGAGTAATAATTTTCAATTGAAGATATGTGAGCTCCGAAAATTTGTGGCTTGGCCACCCTCAAATTGATGAAATATGAGATGGTAAATAGGCATTCTCTAGAGATTTTGCCATTATTTACTGTGAGGATGAGGCATGTGTTATGAAACTATAAGCATGTGATTTTACTTTGCTAACCTTACTATAGTTATCTGTACAATACAGCATTTATTGCTAATATCTAACAATTTTTAGTGTATAAATTATACTGATTGTAGGTAAGGAAGGTGACTGCTCTATTTTAAAGTTAGACCAGTTGTTTACAGAAATGGAGTGATTTTTGTGCAATAGATCTCACACACGCATGCACGCACGCTCGCACACAGAGATTCGATGAGCTAGGTGTGGGTATCACTTGCAAATTTGGATTTACTTGGTTAGGTAAGGCATTTATGGGAGGAGGCTGACTAGGTCAAGGGAGTGTATCACTTGCAATCGTGGATTTACTTGGATTAGGTAAGGCATTTATGGGTGGACGCTGTCTAGGTCTAGGGAGTGGAGGGCTAGGTAGGAAAATTAGCTTAGGTTTTATCTTGTATTTATAAAATTGAAACGGTGCAATTTAGCGGCACCTTACAAAATCAAAACAATTTGAACTGATAAGCATGAAAATCAGATAGGATCAAATTTGAGTTTTAGAGGATCCTAAATTCACAGAATTTTGATTGGAGATTAAGAAGTTGTGCTCAGACTATTGAGATGCGATTACAGATAATTCCAAAATTGTAAAGATTCCTTTCATGGTGTGCAAATTGTGCTTCAGGTGGGAATCAATCAATGTGCTGAATGCAAAGGTCCGGACCTATCCAATTAAGAATTTTATGTTCCTAAAATTGTGTAATTTTGACTATGGATGAGGAATTTATGCACAAAATAGCATAGAGTTGAGTTTGCTCGAACCGTGCTAGAGACCAGATTGGAAAGTAAGATATGGAGTGGCTGTGGAGGTGGAGAGACGAGATTAAGCTGGTGAACAAAATTATGGTGTTCAAGTGATCGGTAGAGATTTATGTTTCATTAATAATAGGGTCTTCGCTGTAGTTGAAAAACCATCATCTCAATCAATTTACTGCACAGCGTGGGGAAAATTTGGGTGGTGCTGAGGCTGGGGGTATGTTAGGAAAAGCATACCACAGCATTGCCAAACGAAGCTTTGCCAATTAACTATGAAGATGTGAAGGAAATGCACTCTCTTTCCCTTCTGAATCTCCATACTAATTTAAGGTCAAAATGTTATTTATTTTGAAAGTTAAGAGGTGGCAACCATTTGGTCTGCAAAAAATTTGTAGAGTTCTTGTTTCATAATTATCCTTCTATTAGAGAATTCTTTCTCAAGCCAAATTTCATGATTATTTCACTAAACCTTCACTTTTAATTATTTTCTCTTTTGAGCCCTAATTTTTTGGTTATCATTGTTTGCCACTAATTCAGGGTTCTTCTTTAGGTTCTTGGGGTTGAGAGGAGTGCTAATCAACGTGACATTCAGAAAGCTTTTCACAAGTATGGACTATAGATATATTTGCATCGATGATCTATTATCCTTAGTACAAGTAAACTGTACACACATTTTAACTATCCTCTTGTAATGATTTCTGCAGGCTTTCTCTAAAGTATCATCCTGACAAAAACAAAAACAAGGGTGCACAGGAGAAGTTTGCTGAGATAAACAATGGTACCTTTTCTGTTCTTTATGGAGTATTAGCGATATTTCTCTAGGTGAATGGTACTTGTATGATTCCACATAGATTAATCCCTTCTGATTTCATCTTTTGTAATTAGCTTTATTTATCTCAATTGCATAGATCATTGCATTATAGAATCCATGCGGAAACTGATGTTGACACGAAATAGTTTTTCAGATAATTTCTTCTATTTTTTAGATCATTGAAGCTCTCTTTCATGTATTCTCTTGAAAATTCTATTGTAATTTTAAAAGTAACGGAGAAAAGAAAGCTTATGAAGGCTTGATTATTTTGTAATTTCTCTTACAAGTCAAAATAACGATTCATTCCCTTCTTCTTGACAGCAAAGGGGGGTAGAGTCTAATCTTGTGGCTAAGAAAAAGAATTTTTATCTACTTTATTCATTATATAATCTAGCACTCCTAAAGTCAACATATTTTTAATGCATATGCTTTTATGCTTTGTTTTACAGGAATGCATGATGATTTAAAATCCTTTTTTTCCTCTTCTATGTACATGCTCCTTGCCCATTGATCATTTTTGAGTCATTTGTTCTGAGTAATTTATAGCTCCTTATGTTTTTTCGTCATCAATGTACACAAAGAGCCCTCTATATGCTTTGTTATTAAACAAGTATTATTTGATCAAATTGGTTAAAAGTTCTACTTTGAGGGAGAGAGCGGGTGGGAATTGTATGCTTATGCATATTAGCTAAAGTTGCATTATTGCTTTTTAGGGTTGCATTATTGCTTATGCATTTTAGCTGAAGTTGCATTATTGCTTTTCAGATAAATTGAGCTGAGCCAAGTAGAAGATTGTTTGAGCTCAATCTTGGTTATGAAAAGCTTGTTTAAGGTCGATTCGAACTTGATTCAATCTTTTGTGATTGTGCTTAAGCTCAAGCTTCTACCAAAAGCTGTTTCGAGCTTGTTTCAGCTCGGATTGAGCTTGTTATTGGTGTGATTAAAAAGCATTAAACGAGCAGCGCATTCGGAAAAAAATTAACAAGTCTTATCAAGCTAAGTTTGCTAAGCTTAACAAATGAGGCCTTAATTAAGCATCTTTAATAAATGAGCCTTATCTTGTTAACACGCTGCTTTTTTGGTGGATGCCTTTACTAAGCTTAATTGAGTTTTAGATTTAGCCTTAGCTGAGTTTATTTACTAACTTTAAGTGATAGTTCATAATCATAAATAAATTGAGCAAACAATCTGTTCATGTTGATTCATTTAACAATTGAATATTTATATAAGTGTTACGATTGTTTGATTAGTTATATGATTATAAACTTGCTATAAACAAGTGAGTCACGAGTAACTTGTGGACACTTGGTTCATTGGCAGAATCAGTTATTCTAAATCTTTCATATAGATATTTGTGTTAGAACAAAAATATAGCGAGTGCTTTCATACACATAAACGTGCGCCACATGGACCTTGAATTTTGAAGAACTATGTGTTTTCTTGTTATGCACGCCTTTATGTTGCCATGGTTTCTTGAAGCATAGTATCCATCGTAGGGGATGTGAATTTTGTGACATAGGCTTAAAATGAGTTGCTCTGATTGAGGACTTAAAGTCAAACTAAAGCCTCATGGATGCATTGTTTTGCCTTAACATGCATCCTCTAATACCATGAGTTTGGAACGAACAAAAACATTCAGCCATTTTAAGTTACATGATCCTCGTACTGTTATACAAACATGCAACCTATACTGTGGATAGAATGTATTCTTTGGATTTAAATTTATCCCTGGTTAACATCAAAACTACAAAAATGGCTAATAAATACAAGAATTGAGGAGAGAAAATGAATATTTTTATTGTTAAAAGTATAACACCTGAGCAAATGATTGATTTTATTATATTAACCTTTTGATCTTCCATTTGTATGCTATGATTGAGGCTGAGGCACGACAGCACAGGAAAGCTTACATTTAATAAATCCAAATGAATTCCTTAATCAATGCTTAATTTTTAATTAATTAATTATTATTATTATTATTATTTTATTACAAGCATTAAAAAGCAGCCTTTCAGCACAAGCTTAGAATCTTTCCCTTGCCCTTGTACATTTCGAGAATTCTAGTTATATATTAGAATGGTATTATCTTTTTGTTGGTCATCTCTGAAGAAAAATGTGAGGCTGTTATGGCACTGCATCATATTGATGATAATTCTATTAAGATATGAGTAAAATTGGTTGAAATGTTCTCCTTGTGCAGTCGCTGCCTAATATTCATGAATGATTTGTTTTTTAATATCAATAGCATTTAGTTTATTCTTTTTCATGTCCCAGCATATGAAATTCTCTCGGATGAGGATAAGAGGAAGAACTATGATTTGTATGGCGACGCACAAGGTAATAGTGGATTTGACGAGCGAAAGTTTGGAAACCATCAAGGCTCCACTTATTTCACTAGTGGCGGCCCTGGTGGCGAGTACTTCACCTCGGGCCCTGGCGGATGGCAGACAACAAGTGGTCAGGGTAATGCGAGATCATTCTCCTTCTCTTTTGGTGGTGATTCTAGTGCTGGTGGCAGTCCGTTCGGCTTCGATATGGGTGATATTTTTTCAAACTTCTTTCGAACAAGTGGCAACCAAAATGGAAATTATCATAGTGGTTTCAGTAGCTCAAACGCGAGATCAAACTCGGAATCCTCTTCTGTAAACATGCAAGACATCGATTTGACATGGTTCAATAAGAAAATTAGAGATCAAGGCATGACTTGGTTCTTATTGTTCTACACACCTTCCTCAAAGGGCTATAATACACTTGAATCTGTAATTTCGAATGTTGCAAATTCCTTACATGGAGCACTAAAGGTATGTTGCAGAGATGGAATTTGTCCAGACTAGAACCATTTTTATAAGGCAAACTTTCAATTCTGATGTAACTACATAGCCAACTCCTAAGCTTTCATGTTTACATGCTTGCAGCTCAAATCTTTAACATCACATAAAAAATATCACAATTACTATCTTTTTATGGGGCTGTTTGGTAGCGTATTTTAATAAGATTTATCATCAGATTTGATAAATCCAGACAAACGGTAAAATGCATGAGTTTGATTTATGAAATTTTTGGATTTGGTAGCCCAATTTTGCTTTCGATTTGGTTTAAATCCGGGTTTACTAATTCAAGGGTAGGGTGGATTTAACAGAATTGCGATTTATGGATTTATTAAATCTACTTGCAGCCAAACAGCCCCTAGAATGAAATATATCTTTTCATACACAGATTTATGACAGCAAAATTTTTAAGTATAAATATTAAACTTTGGGTGTAGATATCTAAATACATAAGAATTATGGGTATGCATGTAATTTCCTTTTTTATAATGCCTGTCATCTATGATTAGAAAACTACTTCGCTCTTTTGCAGGCTGGTAAGATAAACTGCCAAACTGAGCAGACCCTTTGTAGGGAACTTGGTGTGTCGTCTGCCCGATCAGATCGGCTTTTCATTTATGGATATGGAAGCAATGGCAAGGCTTATTTGTTAGAATACAACGGAGAGTTTGATGCCAGAAGTTTGAAAAGTTTCTGCCAGGATCACCTGCCAAGGATTTCAAAAAGGGTAGATCTTAGCCGTTTCGAGTTTACAGGTAACAATGAGAACCTTCCACAGGTGCTGCTACTGACTACGAAGAAAGAGACGCCTGTCATGTGGCGTGCGATTAGTGGGATGTATCGTAAGCGTTTTGCATTCTACGATGCTGAGGTACAGTTGTTTCAGTTTTATGTTTTAGAAGGATCTCATTATTTTTTTTGGCTACAACTTTATTGATAATCTTTACATCTAGATATACTAGAGCATGGTGGCTATAAAAAAATTGATTTATAGCTTTTTCAAAAAGAAAAAAAATATATTTATAATACCTACAATATTTTTCAAAATTTCATTTTTCTAATAGCAGCTCTTAATAATTTTTTCAATGATGATTGTGAAACCTTTTACAATCTATCAACTTTGAATTCATTGTGTTGCTTTTTAGAGAGTGCTAACCATTTTTTTATTCATGGTTATATTTTTTAACATACTTACGACACAATTCTTATGTATTTATACATCTAACACCTGTGCTTTATATTTGTAACACTTTGGTGTCATAAAATTATTCATGAAATGGTGTATTTCTTTTTTAAAAAATAGGTACAAGTGATATTTTTTATGTGATATTAAACATTTGAGTGCCATGCATGAAAATATGAAAGTGTAGGTGGTGTTAGATACGTAAATACATGTAATTACATAAGATTATGGTGTATATGTAAATTCTATTAATCTTACGGTCAGAAACTTATCTGTAGGTTCATGATCTTTTGCACCCATTTTTGAACAAGTTTGAAATTAAAGCTCTTCCAGCCTTGGTCGGTAGGCTGAGTAATGGAGACGCCTATGTTTTAAAAGAAGGGATTGCCGTAAAAGACTTGCAATCTGGCATCAATGAGCTCAAATCCCTGCTCGAAAGCTTTGAAAAGAAAAATATCATAGTTTCGAGCCAGTCAAAGAAGACCAAATCCCAAGCGAAGAACACTCCTCTCCTCACAGCTTCGAATATGGACACTTTATGCGGCGACGCCACCCCCGTCTGTATTATCGGCATCTTCCGGTCTCAAAAAGCAAAGGAGAAATTGGATAATATTCTGTCAACTGTGAGCATCCAACTTTTGACAATGTACACTGTACACACTTTCCTAGAAATTCAGTATTTGCTTACTTGTTTTTTTTTTCTTTTTTTTAATACGTATTCATTCAGTTGTCTCGGAAGACACTTGTGAGGAAACAGAACCAAGGCATGGGCCATGGGGATTTCATTTCTTACTCGCTTCTGGATGCCAAAAAGCAGGCACAAATATTGAGCTCCTTTGACAGATCAGGATTCAAGTCCTTGGATGCGTTTATACTGTCTTACAAACCCAGGAAAGGAAAATTTGCAGCATATGCTGGTGAATTGACGATGGAAGAAGCTGAGAAATTTGTCAGTTCTGTTCTTAATGGGGATGTTGTTTTCTCTATGGTTCATCAAAATCCTACTTTCAGATAAAGTGGCTTTAATGTATAAATGCTGTTTATTTTCTTTTTAGTCTCTTCTCACCGGTCCCATATATGATATACGTAGAAAAATGATGAGGTTGATGTAAAGATATATAGATATTTTGGGGATAATTAAAAGGTAGTTTTATAGTTGATTTGAACTCTGTTATTGTGCGGCTTTTATTTTATTTTAACCAACTTAGTTGTATATATGCTATGACTTATCCTGCATGATTTGTGTTTTATTTAAAGGATTCTTCGGAGTTAATGAGAAGTAAAGCTTGTTTTTAGGTGATTTTAGAAATTTTTTTTGATATGTCATTAACAAATCTTTGTTATCCACACGAATCTCAAGACATGAAACAGATCTTGAGATAATATTTTAAGTAAGGAATGTCTAAATTTTGATAAAAACTTATCCAGAGTTCCGATTTCAGCAATCTTAGTCATACTGACCGGTTTGATGAGATGGACCTAATAATATCAAAGGCCTTTCAATTCGAGTCAAATCAAGCCCAGATCAAGTCATTAAACCATTCTTGAAAGATTTTCGGACACATTTGGAAGGTCAAATAGTTGTCGAATCTGATAAATTTATAGTAGAATCAAGCGTCTCGATAAGAGGAATACAACAAGTTTAAGATTGCGCAATTTCGACATTGTTAAGGCACTCAAATGTTCATTAAACGACGTTTGATTGGAGGAACTTTTTCGAACCGTCCAATAAAAATGATTCATATTTTATGTATTAATGACACTCAGAATACTATAAATAAAGTCTCACCTCTCACGTGAGGGGAGAAACTTGAAGCTTCAGAGAGAACTGGAAGCTCTGAGAATGAGCTGAAGTCCAACGTCATCCCGACTGTTGTTGACCACCGCCGATTGCCATCGACCACGTTGGCCGTCGTCGACACCCGTCACGTCGTCAGCCACTGTCGACCATCACCATCGATCACTGACAATCTTCGTCGATCACCACCAACCAAACAATATTAATCATTATCATGGAAAATGAGCTCATCACTAAGGTCCATGTGTCAACAATAACATACGTGGTTCACAACTCTTGCAGCTTCCGACTCCAGCTCCCGACTCCAGCCTTCACGACCTACGAACGTCATTTATGCTCGCCCTTATGACCTATCTGGTTCACAGCTTGTGCAACTCTCGACTCCGGCCTCCACGGCCTACAGACGTCATTCATACTAGCCCCAATGACCTACGTGGTTCACAGCTCATGCAGCTCCCAACTCCAGCTTTCGCGACCTACGAACGTCATTCATACTTGCCTTTATGGTTTACCTGGTTCACAACTCGTGTATCTCCCGACTTCGGCCCCTACGACATACAGACGACATTCATACTCGCTTCTACGACTTATGTGGTTCATAGCTCATGCAACTCCCGACTCCAGCCTTTGCGACCTACGAACGTCATTCATACTCGTCCCTATGGCTCATCTGGTTCACAACTCTTGCAGCTCCCGACTTTGGCCTCGCAGTTTACGGTTGTCATTCATACTCTCCCAAACGACCTACGTGGTCATTGGCTCATGCTGCTGCTAACTCCGACCCTCGCGGCCTACAGATATCATTCATATTCACCCCTACGACTTATGTGGTTCACAGCTCGAGTAGCTCCCAACTTCAGCCCCACGGTCTACGGATGTTATTCATACTCGCCGTTACGGTCTATGTGGTCCGCAGCTGTTGTAACTGCTTACTATGGTTTATTTGGTCAATCAACGCTTCTGGAGCAACCATCTATAATACTCATAAATGAACTACTACCTCTACAACAATCAACAATGACCCTTGCAACCTCCTGTCACCAAGATTTGCAACCAGATTATAGTTAGACAACTTTATAATTCCATCTTCCCCTATTTAGGAGAAGTTTGAACATGTGTACACATCATTCATAGTAGATTATTTCAACCGGGCTAGACCCCGTGGTTTTTTCCTCTTTCAAGGGTTTTTCACGTAAAAAATCGAAGTGTCTATTCCTACTTAATTTTCTTATGTTATCTGTGTGTGATGAATTCTCGTGCAACACTAAGACGATAATTTATTACTCTACCGACATAAATTTTCTGGCACGTATAAGTTTTGATCAATTTTATTGTATCGTTCAGTGACACAATTTTTTTATTTTTTTAATTTTGAAGGACTGGTAGAGTTATATGCAAGATTTGGAAAACATGACCATACATAAAATCTCGTCAACAGAGAAGAGTCGAGCTTCAAATGATAAATTAGGGTCGAATCATAGTTTGAATTAAATGATGTAATAATTATTAAACTTATTTTAATGTGATTTAGGGTTCGTTTGGGACAGTTTATTTCGTGTGGTGGGGTTTTAAAACGCACCTGATTTGTTTCGGTAAATTGTGTTGGACAACTTATGCATTTTCAAAACGCTGAAAACAACGTTTTCACACCGCACCTAAATTTACTCCTATTTAACTTTCTGACAGCGGGCTGACTTTTCCAAAGAAAATAAAAATTTGTAATAGCCACGACACCTAGTTTATCAGCAGATTATTTTTAATCAATTTATCAGCAAATTATTCAATAAGCCGCAACTGCTTCAAACAGATCCTAAATTTGTGTTGCATGTATTTGCTTGTGTACTTTCCCGTAAATTAATTAGAATTCTAAGCTTGGCTGAATTTTATGAACTTTTTTTATTGAATAATAAATTTATAATATATTTATCAGTTTTTATCAGTTATTGTAGCCTGAATTTTGATTGTTGTGGCCCTTCTCGAATTAACTGATGGGAGATTTAAAATTTTTAAATTTTAGATAGAAAAGAAATAACTTCATAGGTGGATCTTGAGGTTTCTTTAGTTGATGGGCGTGTTGGTTGTTTAATTTGCATGTTAATAAAATTTCTTCAATGAGATATAAAAATTAAAATTAAACTTAAAATATCATGTTTTAGGCTCATTAGGTTGTGTCAGTTTCAGCCATTATATATAATTCGAGT